AAGACAGCCGGGGCGCGGCAGTGGAGGGTGGGTTTCGGCACGGCGCCAGACTCTGGAAGCCGCAACAGTCAACGGAAAGCGGGCTGCCTTCCCGCCAAAACCCACGTCCAACTGACACGCCCCGACTGGCTTGATAGCGACGGTGTGTTTATGATTATGATTTATTGCTGGCATGGAATACGCCATGCAGCTTGCTTCCACCTGGAAGAGACCATATTTGGAGGCATGCAGCACATGCAAACTTCACAATTATTCACAATAAATGTCTCCATCGAGATTCATTCCTAAGAACGTTGATTGAGCTCCCTTGGTTGTACAATGGGCGGTGTTTGCGATTCGGCACGAGATCCCTTTCTATTCTGGGAGCGCTCCGAGGAAAGGGGCCAAAATTGGTCATGGAGGTGATCCGAACAAGAGGGCAATTCGAGTGCATAGTTTGCGAGTCGGCGTGAGCGAAAAGGATTTGCAGGTATTGATCGGCGATCGTCGCTCGCGTTTTGGAAAATTCTGCGGATCAGCGTTTTGGGCGAGTGGTTTTTTTTTGCAAATGGGTGCTTTGTGCGAATCGACCCTTTGGTTGCCAACTGATGCTTAGGCGCTTTACGGGTCTTTACAGTAGGTACAGCAGGCATCGACAGTGATCGATGGCAAACAGCAAAATACTCCCATCAAGCCGAACCTGTCCTAGCTCTGTCGCTAAAAACATCAAATCGCTGAAAACGCTGATTCTCCCAAAACGCCGAATCGCAGAGTATGAATGCAGCCTCAGCAGGTACACGTTGTTGCGACAATTCAGAGAGAGCTACGTTGCAAACTCCATACAATGAACGCAAAATGAAGCTTACTGTACAGGGAGGGGGGGGGGGGAAGGGGCAAAAAAGACCATTTTTTCTCGACATTCAAAGATGAATAAGTTGGTGGATATTTCCACCACTAAATTCAACAAACATTGTACCGATCATGATACTCCGCCACAGCCTTCTGGAAAGAACGCCATCGAGAGATTCTGCCACGCGACCGTGATTCGGTGCCTGAGTTCAGCGTTGATTTCTCCGCCACTGTAGACCACCCTGTTGAGCTCCGCCCAAACCCGGTAATCGAGGGGGTTGAGGTCAGGTGACGCAGTTGTATTTCGTCTTCTTCAGGTACTCACTCTACTACTACCCTTCGATTCCAAGCAGGCAAGTGTTTTTCGATTCCACGTGCTGGCATCCAGTCCTGTAGCAGTACGAATTTTCCAGGACGGTACAGGCGACGGCATGAAAGCAGGATATCCTCCCTGAGCTGTTTGATGTAGTAATCAGCTTCGCTTTCAGTTCAGGTTCCACGAAGACGTTTTCGGTCTTCCTATCCCAGGAAATCCCTGCCCGTACCGTCAACCCGCGCCCGTGGCTTGATTTTGGCCACTGCAGAGCATCGAGGCGGAACTTCTTCTTCTTGAGGGTGGTCCATATGAGGATGTTCTGTCCTTAGGAGGAGAGACCATGAAGAGCTTTTCGTCGCTGAAACGGCTTCTTCTGGGCTTCGGCAGGAGATTCCAGCAGCACTCCAGACATTGCCTTCGTTGGAATTCGTTGAGGCTATGTACCAGAGAATTTGAAGAATCAATTTTAGACACCGATTCGAATTTTTGGTTCTTCAAAATCCGGCGAACGGAGTGCGAGGGATGGCGGTGCGCTCGACGAGCATCTTCGCTGTCACGGTCGGCTCCTGGAAGATTGTACCCTGGATCATAGCGACGTAGTCGGAGCGCTAGATGTCAGAGGTCTTACAGATCCGGGATATCGGTTTCCAAGTAGCTGTCCATGCAGACTCAATACAAGAAGCTTTACAGCTGTTTGGAGGTGACGTGAATTCCATAGGCCTTCTCCAGTTTAGCTGCGATGGCGGATGGCTTCATATTTTGGTGTACATGAAGGTGATGGACGAGAGCCTGCTTCTGCTTATCGAGGAACATCTTGGGTATCTTCCGCCCTGGTACTCGTATCCACGTCTTCTCTCTGGGCTGCGTATTCTTTACTGATATGTGCCTCGGGCAAAGTGTCTTTTTTGTCGCCTCCCTGTAGACGAATTACCATGCAGCTGCAAGCGTTGACTGTTCCGAAAGTTGCCGCAATGTGGATCTCGTGACCAGCGTTCTTTTTTATCTAAGAAGGCGAAGCTTTCAAGCAAAGTATCAGGATAACGGCAAACTCTTCGACTGCGGAACTCAGAAACCTCTGAAAGACGCTATTCTCAGAAGAGTTACTGTTGCTTAGGAGATCCACGTTGCGGCACCGTGCGAAAAATAGCCCATGCACACCCAACGCCATGTGTTATCTTCATAACGGCGAAGTTATGCATATTCACCACACAATGAAACACGAGCTGCCGTTTTTGCCACTGCAACGTGGACCTCCTGCCCGCCACTCTTGACCGCTCCAAGGATACCCTAGTTACCAAAAACGTTGCATGTGGATACACACCTTGTGCTCAAACACTCCTAGAGCTATTCAAAAGTAGTTATCACAGAAACGAGACTATCTGACAATAAGAAGTAATGCTTGACCCTTTTGACTATGGTCGGGGATTACCTATGGGTGGGGAGGATCCACGGGAGCCATATAAAGCAGTAACAATGAATGACAATCTAACAATAAAGTGGACTAAATGTACAGGAGATTAGGCGAAAGAATGAGGACGGACGGATCTCCAAAGATCAGAAAGCTTAGGGTTGCATTTGGGATCTTTGGGATCTTTCACGAAGATTTGGGATCTTTCACGAAGAAGGGCATGTAGCCAACTTTCCGGCTGGCAGGATGGGCTGATTCCTTCCAACTAACTTTTGAGCGCCTAGTTATCTTATCATCCTGACATGCCAAATTCAGGGAAGTGAATCACGTTCGATCATTCTTTTTATCATTCGTAGTCAGTCGCCAAGTGGAATTTGCGGTCCTTGTCCTTGACAGTCCTGAAATCTTTCTTCTATCGACCAGCCACATAAAAAGTTTGGAATGGGGCTCAATAAAGGCGTACCGGTGATTCCGAGAAGTGCCCATACATAATACCATCGAGAATCGCATCACAGTTCCAGCAGAAATGTGTGTCACACATTGAGCACACCATCATGTTACAACCAGACTGCCGCTAAAAAATGATAGTTGGCAATCAAGGCATGTTCCGCGCGCTGTTCGTCCATGTATACCGCTTTGAGATTAGATCGCACCAATCAGGAAGGTATAGTAGTTATCCGTCTCCGCCCACCCTGTTATCGCGGAACGTGGCATGGCATTAAGCTAGAGTTCGCGCTAGATGAGATATATCACATAGATAT